AAATTCTCTCCTGGGCTCTATTAAAACATGAATTCATTGAATGTACATTCACGGAGTACCTGCTCCGTACCATGAACTATATCAGGTGCTGTGCTAGGTAAGCTGAAGACACACAGACCAACAAGATTCAAACCTTGCCTTCAAGTGGCTTGTGATCTTCTGGGGCAGATGAGGTATTGGATGAAACCATCATAAGATAAATGCAGGAGGCTGGTATGGGATTCTACAATCAATGCAACTTGAGGAACAGGAGGACTGAGATAGTAGCATCCAGGCTGACTCTTAAAGAGCAAAGGAAAGTTGTCAGGTAAGGAAGGGCAATTATGAGATTGGGGGTGAGGAAGAAAAGCATTCTGAGTAGCAGGAACAGCATGTGCAAAGGCCAGGAAGTGAGAAAAAGTACGCTTCCCTCAGAGAACTAAAATGTGAACTCCATAGGGTAGAGACACTGTCTGTCTCAATCACTGCTATTTCTTCAGTACTTAACAAGAAATGCTTGTCATGGGGCAGGTGCTCAGCAAGTGTGGAATGAAGGAGTGGCAAGGGCTTAATCACTTGTACAGTTTAGAGAATGTACCAGAGAGGGCCAGGGCCAAGGTCAGGAGGAAGGCTGTTGGGATGTTGGAAGCGGATACTGTCAGCCAAAGTAGCAGGAGTGCAAACAGGGAGGAGGGTGGATACAGGAACAATTAAAGAAGGAGAATTGAGAAGGCTTGGTAACAGAATGCTTGTGGCAGGTACAAAAGGAAGGAGTTGAGGATCAGGCTTAGGTATGGGTTCTGAGCTTCTGGGTAGATGAGTATGTGGTTCAGTAAGGAGGAAAAATGAAGGAGCGCAGGTTTGGGAGAAAGATAATGAGTCTGGTTGTAGATTCCATGAACTTGAGTTTCCTTGGGGTCTTGGAAGTAGAGATACCCAGTACATAGTTTGCAATGTGGAGCTGAAAATACAGTTTGGCAGCTTAAGCATAAAAACAAAAGTGGATGAGGACCAGGGAGAGGGTGCAGAGAGGAGAGAGCCAGATGAAAGGTGGACCATCAGAGAGGCAGAAGAGAAGAACCAAGAAATTCCTATGAACCAGCAGCAGAAATGGGATTTCTGGTGGGAAACCTTAGGGAGGACAGGATATCAGGAAGAAAAGGAATGGGCAACAGTGTAAATAACAGTGTAAACAGCAGGAATTGACAACTCAATTAAGAGCAGAGCTGCAAAGGGTCTACTGGTGATTTTAGAGAGGGCCACTTTGATGAGCTTTGCTAATGTGGGTTTAGGAGACAGCAAGGTAAGGATGTGAATAGAGTCAGTGAGTGGACACAAGAAGTTCAACTGTGGGTGGGAGGAGGCAGCATGGAAGAATCCAGAAACAGGTTTTAAGATGTGAGACACCTGAACATATTTAAATGTTTCTTAGAGATAACCTATAATCTATACCATCACGTCTGCTAGCCTGGGGCACAGATAACTCAATGCATTAGACCTGAAATTTGTAGCAATTCTTTCTTAGAAGCACCACGTAGAGAGAGGATGAAAAGGGATATTTCAATGTAGATAGCTCAGAGCATATTACGACTGAACTCCCAATACCACAATACTCACCTTCAAACCTGCTTTCTCGTGTTTCCCCTCTTGACCAACATCTTTATTATCTACTCAGCAACCTGGACGTGACTCACCAAGGCATCACTGAATTCTCAGTGTCCCCCTCAGATCTCATCAATCACTGATTTTTGTCAATACTATTGTCTGAATATTTGACTCTGTCTACTTCTTGCTTTTCTATAGCTGCTGCCCCAGACCTGAAGTCTCTGATTCCTCCAGCTTTGAATTCTCATGTTTCCTGAAAATATAGATCCAGTCATGTCACTCTTCTTCTAAATATCTAAAGGCAAGCCATCTTCTGAGAGGTAAAGTCCACCTTGTCTTGCCTGCCCTCAAGGCTGGCCAGGATCTGACTACCACCAAGCCTTGTCAGCCCTAAATTTTGCCTCTGCTTCCCGCACGCATCCTTAGCAAGCCCTGTGGGGCTCAGCTTCACTGAGAAGTGCCATGTGCTGTCACATCCTCAATCTTGGCTCACACTGGTCCCTCTTTCTGGGACTCCCTCTCCAATTGGTGATTTCTGCAGACCCGGCTCAAATGCTGCAGTTTCCACGGTGCCTTCCTGGGTCCTCTCCTCCAGATCAAATCACATCACAGCATGAATCACTCCTTCCCATAGCTCTTCAACACATGTTAGCAGGTATCACATGCTGGAGAGTCAAAGACCTGTTACACATCAGATCCTGGCCTACACACAAATTAGAGAGCAGGGACAATGCAAGTGATTCATTTCACACCTTCCTCACACACAGTAGACATCAGTATCTTCTTAGAGGACTCACACTGGCTAATGGATGAATTCACTGTTTTCATGTAACCAAAGTGATTTCCACCACTCATTGTCATGGAACTAGATGAATTTGGTTACAATTAGGTCAATCTAAGAATCATCTTTAATAACAAGTTCTTCCCTGGCTCTGCTAGTCATCCACTGGGAGGTAAGAACTTGCTAAGCTTTTTTGACATTGTCGCTCTAAGCAGAGCTTGAACAGAGCTTCTCTGTTTCATTCTACTTCACCCACTCAACAAAAAGACGCCAAACATAAGGTCCATGCCAGGCACTGGGGACACAAAGATAAATAAAACAGTCATGTCCTCAAGGTGCTTGCAGTCTAATAATCTAAATAGTGAACATTTACTTACTCATTATTTTGATCAGATACCATGCTTCTCATTTAGTTCTCAAGGCAATGCTGCAAAATGGGTGGTATCATGTCCATTTTAGGAGGAGGAAATTGAAGCTCAGGGTGGCCAAATCACTTGCCCAAGTATTGTAAGTGACTGTAACAGGCTGTTGCTTTGATGGCCTCCAATGAGCTATGCCTCCCAGTATTCTTGCCCTTACGTGGTCCCCTCCACATTGACTTAGAGTGTGGCCATGTGTCTTGGTTTGGTCAGTGGGACATGCACAAGTCTGATGCAGACAAAGGTTTGATAAACAGTTGTAAATAAGGGCTTACCCTCCTGGAATACTTCCTCTTAGGATCCAGCTGCCATGTAAAATACTTGGGCTAAACTACTGAAGGATTAGAAGCTATGTGGAGAGATACCCTGGAGGATGAAAGATCATCTTGGTGTTTCTTTCCAGCCACCCTCTCAACTGAACACAGCTGACAGGTACCAAGTAAGCCCACAGCCACAGTCATGGCCAACCCACAGACCATGAGAAATATTAAATATCTGTTGTTTGAGGCCCCTAAATTCTGGGGTGGCTTGTTATGCACCAATGTATAATTGAAACAGTGACAAACTATGATTTGAACCCAGTACTACCTGATGAACTTCAAAACCCACGGTCTTAGTCTCAACACTAGGTTCCTTCTGGTTGGAAGTGGAATGTCGCATTGATACTGTAATATTCACAGGCTGGCCCATACTGCACTCAATAAATATTTGTCAAATGAATGAATAAAGGGGTGGTGGGCTACCAGAGAGGTAAGAAAGTCCTGGGAATTCAAAGGCAGGATGGCAATTACTTTTCAACAACCATTATCCCCTTTCAGCACAAATATTCCAAAAACAAAAACACCCCTAAGTCTAGAAATGAACGTGTGGATATCACCAAACTCCTTCACTCTCTTTCTCTGTTAAATTTGATCAGGCAAAATTGAGACATTAGCAGAGTTTGGTTTTTTATGGTCCTTCCCCCTGTGCCCAGCTCCCCACCATGCCCCTGGCATCTCCTCTCCATTGGCCTTCTGGGCCCCTGAGCTCTTTCTTCTCTTTCCATATAAAATCCACATGCAGGAGAGGAGCAGAAAAAGTGGAAATTACAGAAATGGGGAGGGAGATTTGGGTGTTAATAGATGATTTTACAGGCCAAATAAATGAAGTAAGCTTCAGGAGACAACTGCCAGCATGTGGAGGAGGTATTCTAAAGAGGGAGAGGCAGTCAGAGGTGTCCCCGTGGACAGGGAATAAAGGAATGCCCCCTGCCTCTTTAAATCCTTCTAAACCCTCAAGAGGGAGGGAGGGTCTTTGGCTCTCCACAGCTGGGGATGGGGCTCCAACATGTTTACATCCCAGAGTAGTCACTATAGCCTGGTCAAGACCCACAGGGGTCAAAGTACCCAGTCCTCTGCTTCCTGACTGCCCTGATACTGCCTTTTCTGTTCTAAGCCCCCAGTCACTCTCAGGCTCCTGCAAACATGCACACACCTCCCAAGGTCACACACATGGTTCCAGCATATGAATCCCACACCCAGAAAATCATTTGAACCCACAGCTGCAGACTCGGCCTAAGGAGAGAGCAGGGCCCACTCTTACAGGCGGACCTTAGTAAGTGCACATAGGCACCGTGTCACACACTCAAATGCAAAGCAATGCAATGCAGTGGGGTGCACACATCCAGGCACTGGAATATGAGCAGACAGAAACGTGTGCACATGCATGCACACCTCCAGACCACGTAGACTGTCACACGTGCCCAGCAGCACGCACACACAGATACCTAAACCCTCCCACCCTCAGACACCACCCGCACAGGTGCCCAGCCAGGCCTCAACACCAAGCCCCTCCCCCACCCCTTTTCAGAAGCAGGTGGAGTGGGCTGGGATTTGCGGGCGTTGCCCCTCCTTCCTCCCTCTGGCCCCTGCTCTCCAAGGTCCACAGTCTCATTGGGGTCTGGAGCCCGCCCCGGCCCCCAACCTGCGCACAGGGAGCGACTGTTGAGAGGGGGGATGGGAAACCTGGTCTCAAATCCTTCGGATTTTAATTCCTTAAATTAACACCTTCCTTGCCTCCGGTCTGGCCTGTCCAGAATCCCTGCCGGTCTGGCAGCCTCGCGGGCCTCTAGAGGGCTGTGGGGGAGAAGGAAGAGGAAGAGGCAGCGGCTGGGGTCCTCCCTGCCTGCCTTCTCTCTCCAGGAGCGGTCCCACTGCGAACCCGCGACTCGTCCTTACCTCCTCCACCCCGCGGCGAGGCCAGGCCCCGGCTGGGGGTGCAGAGGCAGCCCCCGCGTGCCCGGTCCAGATGAAGGGCCGCCTCGGGGCCTGGGATCTCGTTCCCCACTGCAGCCTCGGGTGACCGCCGCGTCTGGAGCCCCCGCCTCCCTCTCGGGGCGGGGGCGGCCAAGCCTCCCAGCCAGTCGCGGCGGGAGGGGCCCACCAACCGGGTGGGGGAAGATTGGAGAAGAGGAGGGAGGAGGGGGTGCGCGGCCGGAGGAAAGGAAGGGAAGGGGGAGGGAGGCACCTAGGAGGTGGGGCGGAGCCGGCCCCTCCTCTGGGGCGGGCGCTCCTGCAAGCTGGGGAGCGGCAGACGCCGCCAGAAGCGGCTGCGCCGGGATCCCACGTTTTCTGCTGAAGGTGGCTTCTATGGGGGAGGGGTCCACGGCGCCGCCCTCGGGTGCAGGGACCGCCCTGGCCGCGCTGCTCCTGGGTCTCCGTCTTGCCGCTTCCTGGCACCGCCCTGAGCATTCTCCCGGCCCCGGGCACCCCCAGTTGTGGCCTCTGCTGCCCACCTTTAATCCGAACCTCTCCTCCTTAACCCTACCACCCTGGCTTGGGCCTGCTCCTACTCGGGACGAATCCTAGGGTGGGCGGTTCTGTAGAAGAGCGCCGGCTCGCTGCAATACTCCTGGGATATGTGCCCCGGCCCCTAAGCGGCCCGTGCGCTACGCGCCTAGGTTGTGGACTTGGCGACCTCGGGTCCGATGCGTGGTCTCTGCGGAGACTGCTTGAATAAGTCCGCTCTGGGCATCCCTAGGGAATATGGGGAGGTGGGAGTGGCTGTTTCAGGCTACTGGTGTCCTGGAACCCAGCCTTGCCCTTGAGGGTGCCACCTAGGAGCACATGCTATCGCCACAAATTCCATCGCAGACCCAGAGGAAGAAAAGAGCAGGCCTCCGGACTGCTCCTTCTAACCCACTTCCACCTCGAACATGGTTAGCAGAGAAGCCTGGATCCCTGGAACTAGAGCATCTAGAGGGCCTGCGTGGCCCTTGGCTTAAGGCCTGTCCAGCTGAAGAAGCAGAAACAGTCTGGCTGCTCTAGGCTTGGAAGACGTCCACAGGGCTACAGTGGGGCCTGAGCAATCAGGGGACAGGGGCTACAAGCCCAGGGCTGAGCTGGTCTTTGGATGAGGAAAGGGGAAGATGGAATTTCAGGCTAGGGATGTTACTTGGGCTGAGGCATAGAGACAGGCTTGGGTAAGGTTGAGCACCAAGGCCATAAAGGGCAGTCTGGCTGCAGCAGAGCAGAAAGCCAGTATAGCCCCAGGATTCTCCAGTAAAGGCTAATGGGACTTCCCTTGGCCACATTCTACTCCAGCTGAGGCAGAGGCATTGGGCATTTAGTATCAGGAAGGATCATTTGTAGACTTGTCAGTGGCCCTGGGGAGAGGCAAATTTAGTAAAGTTTGAGGTTGAATAGTGGCCAGATCAAACTACCTCCTCCCCACACCTTCTCTTCCTTTCTTTAGCTCCCAAATTTCTTTCTTCCTCCAGAAAGTGTTCTTAGATTGAGCGAATGAGAAATCACTTCTCCTAAGATTTAAATGATACCAGTTTCTATTAATCGAGTGCCAAGCATTATACTAATCATATTGATGCCATTCAATCATCCTAATAAACCTATGGAGTAGGTATATTATTACCCCCAATTTACAGATGGGAAAGCTAAAGTTCAGAGTTCAAGAAATGGCACAGCCAGGATGTGAACTCACATCACCAAACTCCGAAGTCTTTGCTTAACCATGGGACCCTTCTCCAACCTCTTTACTGTATTAAACTCACTCAGCCTTCCCCTACCAAAATTCAGATTCCCTAAATCCACCCACTTCTGTAGTGATCCAAAAATATCCATATATTGTCTTGTTTCTACCTTTTCTAGTGATGTTTGTCCTCACCCTGTGCTTCTTGTGAATATGCAAAAACGATTTAGGGCATGCTTGTGTATGTATGTATGTGCTTTTGTGCAAAAGCATATGCATGCATGTGCATGCAGGTGTATGTCTGTGCATATACATATGCACTCATGTCTGCATATGTGAGTACATGTATGTGTGAATGCATGTGTGTATATGTGGAAATACACTGCACATATATGTATAACAAATGCACATGTGTTTGTGTGTGGGTGTGGGTGTATTTGTGTATGTGTATGTGGGTGTGCGTATGTGTGCATGCATGTGTGCTTGTGCGCATGTGTGCCCATGCTACATTTCACAGACAACAGTTCCTGCCTGGTTGTTATGGGAACCACAGTTCTAAAAATGTTAACTGAATCCCACTCCATGTGGGCCAGAGAAACCAAGAGAGAGTGAGCTGAGTGACAGACACTTTGGGGGGCCCAGTGCTAAGGCAGAGAATCATGGGCTCAACAAGAACTGGACATCCACAGACTAGTTGGAAATGTGGTCCCCCCTCATGAGACCCCATGGCTTGGACTAGGGCCTCAATCCTGCTTCTTCCCATCTCTCCCTCCTGACCCTTTCCCAGCTTCATGCTCTCCAACCACCTCCCTTCCTCTTCCCCTTTTCTCTTTTCCTTTCTCCTTTTAGCACTTTAGGCCCTTTTTGGCCAACCAATGTGCACAAAATTATTGTACTTTAGTGTATGGGCAGTAAGTTTGGTGATATGGTATCCACACGGGTGGATCACACAAGGTCTCTACCTTTGAAGGAGCTCAGCGGTGGGAGGAGTTGGATAGTACATGCAGGGAGGGGAGAGAACAGAGTAAAGGAAAAAATGACAGAGGAGGGAGAAGATGAATTTGGTTCAGACATGGAGGGCTTTAACTGCAGTGTATTTCTGGAGGAAAGTGGAAGCTGTGGTCAATTAAAGATAAAACATTGAATAATATTTTAGGGAAATCACATCAGTAGCAATGTGCAATGTGGAATGGAGAGAGAATGGAGGCAGACGTAGCTCAGTTTGGTTTAGTGCAGGCTTGTCTCAAATAGGAAGCAGGAGTTGGGGGAGGGGAGAATAGCAGACATCCTGTGTTGCTTTGTCAAACCGTCCCGCATATCTTACTTCACACCAAGACTCATACTACTCTTCCCCTCTCTCTACGGTGAGAATCAGGACTTGAGTGAACCTTTGTTACTGATGTGTGTGTTGAATTCCTCAGGTGCACTGGAAAGGAAAAAAGTTGGGGACCACTGACATGGAATATGGTAGGCACTCAATAATACTTGCAGAATAGGGATAGTCCCAGATCTTGGAACTGGAAGGCCCAGGTTCAAGGTCCACTTCAGTCTCTCATCATCAGTGTGCCCTTAAGCCTTAACCCCCAAACTTCTTGAGCCTTAGTTTCCTCCTTTATACACTGAGGGGTCAGAAAGGGTATTCTTATAAACTCCTTCTACCTATAGGCTCCTATGCAATTCTATGTGACTGTCCTAGCCACAGTGTACACATACGTGAAGTGGGTAGCATGGACTGAGGAGCTGGCAATAGGCACAGAGAGGATAAATGTGGGAAGTATTTTAATAGAGGAATCAACATCTTCTGGCTTCAGTTTTAATCAATATTGTTGAATAAATAAATCATAGACCCTACTGCTATAGAATAGGTGGACTGGTTCACAAAATGTAACAGACATTTGAAATGTTTAGCTGAGATTACAAGAAAGGAAAGAAAATCTACATCAACCAAAGTAAGGTAATTGAGACAAAGAAATGAAAGCAAGAGATGTGTTGTGACTAACCACAGGAGGTATGGGGCCAGGGAACATTGCTCTTCTGTCCTGACTTGGACCCTGCTTTCGAGGATTGAGTGAGTTAATTGCCTCTGAGAATTAATAACTATTTGAGTTAGGGTTTAAACACACAACACCTGTATGTACAGGAATCCCAGGCCAAGAAATTAAGATAAAAACTGATCTCTATCAGTTGATACTCCAGTTTGCTTGTGAGCACAGGCTGCCACAAGTTGCTGGCACAGGCAAACACAAAACTTCTTGGGATAAACACATGCCTAACCCGGGCCCCAGAGTATTACTGTCCAGGTAAATCCTCACTGAAAATGAGCTTACAAGCTAAAGACCACAATATACAAAAGGAAGCAATGTACCATGAATGAAAGTCGTTAAGGCCCTGAAGAACTTCACTAAGATCAAACAGGTCTGAGTGACAGCCTAGATGTGGAGGAGGGAAGGGTCAAAGGTGAATCCCACAGAAGAATTTTAGTTATTTGGGTGACTCCAGGGAACCAAACAAATAATAATTCCCATTAGCAGAAATTGGGTAGAGAGAAGGATGATTTGATTTTAAACAGTGAATTTGAAATAGTGGTGGGACATCCACATGGAGATGTTCATTAATCAAAACCAAGGGGCTGGCTGAAGCTGGAGTGAGGACCAGGCCTGGGTGACTTAGAAGTCATCTCTGTAGCTGTGAGAGCTGAAAGCTGGGAACAGGCAATAGGAGAGAGCTCAGAACCAAGGTTTGGAAAACACCCACATTTTGAGGACCAGATGAAGAAGAGGAACAAGTAAGGACAATGAGCTCTTAGTCTTTGATTCTGTTTGGGTTGATTTTCTGATTGTTTGATTTTAATTATTTCCATCTCTGACCTCACATTCTCTTACTTCAGAATTCCTAGGGGAAGATCCAGTAAATGGAGCCGTTTCCCTTGGGATTAATAGGAGGAACTTTTCATCGGGGAACCAAGATGGGTTCTGGTACCAACACCACTACTAAGTCACTTCTTTGGCATTCCAACTTTCTCATCAGTGATATTAGGCCTAGGTGGGTGTGTGAGCAAAATAAGGCTGCTGAAGGGGGCAAGGATGGCGTGGTTAGCTGTCACCAACCCATAGCCTGTCAGCGCTTCTTCCTCTGTTCGAAGTGTGTGGTTTAACACCAGTTGTTTGAAATCTGGGCCTCTGTGCTCTTCTTTACCATATTTTGCATGGAAACTGAAATCAGTGAAAGTCACTTTCATGACTATAAGTACAAAGTGTGGTCACTCAAGTAGCAAGATAAATGAGACGCATCATTATCTTATGTTTCCATGAACCTACCACTTACCTATTAGTGTCTGATGGTCTGTCATTTGAGCCTTTCTGTAGGGCTAAACATTGCCCTCTGCCGGCTACTCTTTTAAAATGTTAATTCTCCTAGAAGAGGTAATACTAAATCCCTTACCACAAATTGGTTTATTAAATACAAGATACTCAGCCATGTGAAAGTACTTAACACTTAGGGAGAGAAATGGGTGGAATTCTCTGATTTTATAATTTTGTCTCTGGTCAACTGGACTGTGGGGATAGAGGGTGAGCACATCTGAGAGTGAAGGGATGAAGGAGCCAAAGGCTCAGAATCTGGGTTGATCTGGCATAATAGAGCAATAAGGCTCTTTTAATTCAAGAACAGTTCAGCTCAGAAGAGAAAATAGTGAAACCCCCAGACAGGCCCTACCCTTTCCTTAACAGAGAGGAATTGCTGGGAAGGAGAAATGGGGTGCACAGAAGGTTTTTAATGCTTCAAGTTCTGCCAAAGGTGACCAAAAAGAGTGAAAAAGTTTTGGGGCTGGAAGTTCAGGGAGTAAATGGGGGCTAATTTTCACTCACCTCTCACTTTCCCCATCAGAGGATCATGCTTTCCTCACCAACCTCCCAGCTCCACCTGCCCCCTCTCCACTCTGACCTCCTGGGCAAAGCCATGAAGGGTTCACCTGGAAAGAGGGGTAGGGAAAAGGGGTCTGTGCCAGGTGCAAGGCTAGATGGTAAATGGGTATATCTCCTTTTGGGGAAGCTCCTCTGCGGGAAGAGCTTCTGACAGGCACCCTCTCCTTGCTGGGCTTGGCTTTGCCTATCAGTGGTCTAGCTCACAGCATGTGACTCTCATACAGATGCCTAGGCACCGCCTGGAACTTCTGTAATACCCAATACTCTGGGTGTTCATAGTGCTGAAATACTGCAGTCTTGTGTTGCTGTCGCTACTCCCTGGGGCTCCTTGTAGTTGCCCAACCTATTTCATCTCCTGGTAAGAAGCCTTTCCAAATAGTGCTTTTAAGATGAGGTGCCTCCATTCTGGGATTTGAAAAAGAGCACTGGCTTTGGACCCAGACAGATCTGAATTTGACCCTGTCTGTTACTGGCTGGGTTACCCAGCAGGTTACCTACTTTGCTTCCTCCTCTTTGAAACAGAGTATCTGACTGCTGCACTCAAGATTGTGAGAATTAAGGAAGATAATATGTGCATAATGTTTAACACCTAAACCTCTTAGCCACGCTCCATTTCCAGAAACACCCTGAGCCCTTAGGTCAGCTGTGATTAAATCCATTCCTTAATTCAGTACATATTTATTGAATGCCTTCTATGTGCCACAGTGCCTGACTTTAGGTGCATACTGACTCCATTAGCGTGAGGCTCTCCTTTCTCTTCTGGCACATATTCTCCAGCGGCAGTGAGCGGTTGGGGGCAAGGGTCAGAAGCTTGGATGGCAAATTAGTAAGCTTTTAGCACGATACTTTTAATTGCAAAAATAAACAGTTTTGTCAACTGCTTGAGAGTAGCGTCTGCTTTACAAAATTAACAACAAAAAGGAAATAACCCCAAAGCAAAACGTTACATCCAATGGCTGCTGGAAACGACATTGCTGTACAAAATCCCGCGCGAGACCGGCTCTGCGCTGCCCCAGCCTGTCTCTGGGGGTGGGGTGGGGTTAGGGGAGGCCGTGGGGCGTGCGTCAAGCCAAGTACAAAAGACTGTCTTAAGTCCCAAGGAAATGCCTACTCAGTGGGTGACCTGAGAGGGATTTTCCCAAAGCGCAGCTAACGCGGGACACAGCGCCTGGGCCCTGGGAGCTGTCCACGGAGCTGGTGCTGAAGGGCGTGTGCAGTGGGCGCTTCCCGGGAACTGGAAGCTGGACCAAGCCGGCCCCCGGCGTGACGGGAAGAGGAGTGGGGAGGGGTGGGGTCAGGCCAGGTCCTTTTGTGCGCGCCGGACGGCTACGCCCCAATTTACAAACCCATTTCTCCCCTCATAGGGCGGCGAAGGAGAGGCCCAATGAGTAAAAGCCAAGGCCTTTGAGCCGCTCCTCGGCGCGCGCCTTCTGCTTGAGGTGCACCTTGCTGTGCCGTTTCTTCTCATCGCTGCGCGCGAAGCGGCGGCCGCACACGTCGCAGGCAAAAGGCTTCTCGCCTGTATGAGTGCGCACGTGTGTGGTAAGGTGGTCGCTGCGGCTGAAGTTGCGGAGGCAGATGCGGCACTGGAAAGGCTTGTGGCCCGTGTGTATGCGCAGGTGGCGGTTGAGCTCGTCGGAGCGCGCAAAGCTGCGCACACAGCTCTCCACAGGGCAAGCAAAAGCCTTGACATGCGGCCGCGGGCAGAAGCAGCGCGCGCTGCACTTGCCGCCCCTGCGCCCCTTGCGCCGCGCCTTGGCAGGGGGAAATGGAGCCTGCGGCGGTGGCCCAGGAGGCTCAGGTACGCCGCTGCTTCCAGAGACGTCTGCCACCAGGGGTTTCGAGAAGTCCGCCGTGGCGCTGTGGAGGCTCAGCGGAGACGGCTGAGGCTGCGTGCTGGCCAGAAACTCTCCACTGTCGCCGGTACTCCCCCCTTCCCCACTAGGAGGGGTCAGGAGCTCCGGGAGGCTCTCGGTTCCCTCCCCTAAGTCACCCGGGGTCAGCGGGAAAGCGTCGTAGACCCCCGTGTTGTAAAGTCTGTTGGCCGGACCGGCCGGCAGCTCCGCGGGGCAGCTGATGGACAGCAGGTCTTCAATCTTGGTTCCCATCGGAGGGAAACGGGCCTCGGGCGCGCCCTGGTAAACTCCCTGTGACCCACAGCTCCCTGAGAGCAGCTCCCAGGGAGCGTAAGGACCTTTGAAGGCCGAGGCAGTGTCCAGAGCTGGTGAGGCCGGAGGGGCGCGGAGGCCTGGCTTGACGTCGGGCGGGGAGAGCTGAGGCTCATACAAGCACTGCGAAGGGGTGCCCGCTGAGGACGAGACCTCCCAGAGCGCCTCTGGGAAGGTGGCAGAGCCCAGATCCGGGGAGTAAAGGTCCGGCGGACCCGGCAACAAGATGTCGGGGCCTGCGGGAAAAGAGGCGTCCATGGGAGAGCGGGTTGCTGCCGCCTCCGGGCCGGGGAAAGATGCCAGACCTAGGATGCCTGACATGAGATTGAAGAGAGCCTCCGGGTCGTGCGGGTGTTCGGGCACTGCCTGGATGAAGAAGCTACCGCTGTAGCTGAGGCCGGGAGAGGGTGTGGGTGCAGGCCCCTCCAGGAAGCAGGAATCAGCTAAATCCCCCCCGGCGCCGCAGCTGCTCAAAGCCCAGCTCAAGAAGTCGCCTGCTGAGGAGGGAGCAACAATCAGCTCCTGGCACATCAAAGCGCGCGCCCTAGAGTTCGCAGCCCTAGTCCACGAAGCCCTTGGTGCGCACTAACACATACAAAGTGCCTTTTGCACATCTGATCCAGCCGAAGCCGACATACGCCCCAGACGCGCACACAAACATGCACACGCAAAACACACGTGCACAGGCAAAAGGACGCCTGGATACACGCACGGGTTCCTGCGGAGGCGCTGGTGGCCCACTGGGGGTGGGAATGGCAGTACGAACCCCAGTACCCCCGAACCTCTTACCGCCCCTACCCCCACAGGTCCAGCGTCCCAGTTCCTGACGGTTCTCAGGCACCGTGCACCCCCGAGCTGCGCAGCCGTCTGAGCACCCTCGGCCGCGCTCCTTACCTCCGGAGTAGCCGGCGGTCGCTGGCGCGTCCCTGGCCGACAGCCGGGACAATTCGGTGCAGGGTTCGGCGCAGCAGTCCTCGGTGGACTTGGCTAGGTGCGCGTCGGGGCCGGAAAACTCGCTAAGGTGGAGCATGGCGCGGCGGCGACTGCGGGGCGCCGGGGCCTCGCCCGCTGGGCTTGAGGGAGCGCGGGTGGCGTGGAGGCCGGCAGTAGGGGTGCCCCACGCCTCGCAGACCCGGGCACCCGGGCTCCTGGCTCCAGGGGCTCACCTCTGGGAAAGTGGTTGCCAGGCCGAGGAGCCCTTGCTAGCTGAGACCAGCCTCGGGCGGCAGCTCCTCCAAAGCGCAGCCGGCCTCCCCCAATGCTTGGCCCCCCCACTTATATAGCAGCGGCGGCGCTGGCTCCGGGCTTCCGACTCCCCGGGCCACTGCCATTTCGGGAGGCCCCGGCCCTGCCGTCGTGACGTAAATGCCCAAACATGGACACAGGATGTTTGCCGGGGACTCCCGAAAAGGAAAACTCGGACTGTGACGTCGTCGCCGCCGCCGCTGCCGAGCCCGTGCCGCTGCGTGCGCGCGCACTCCCCAAGCGTGGAGCCCTGTGCGTGCCGGGGCCGCGGGTGCGCTTGGCCCGGGCGCTGCGCCGCGTGAGGCCCAACGACCAGTTAGTGCGCTTCCCGCCTGGAGGCATAAGCGGAAGGCAGCCGAGGAAAGAGCACGTGACTTTGGGATGCCACAACTTCGGGTTCGAATCCACTTTTTGCCACTTCTGTGTCATTTAATCTCCCGGGAGGGACGTCAGCGTCCTCACCTGCGACATGGAGATATTTATATTTACTTCGTAAATGTGCAATGAAGAGTAACTGGGCTTGAGTATGTGAAGTTCTATGCACAAGGGCACACAGTAAACCATAGAGATTATCACCATTATCCATTGTTTGCTAGCACCTCTATTTTTTTTCATTTTGTTAACTGTCTTTTTTTAGTTTGTTTCTATGAAAAATATGTTACCTAAATTAATAAGGAACATAATACTTGCTAATGGTGAGGGAAAAAGTAAATTACTACAGAAAAGTATATTCCAAATTGAAAAGCAAAAACCTCTCTTTTCCCTACCCACCTACCTCCTGAGGAAGCCACATCTAAGTTTCTTGTGTATTCTTTCAGAAAAAAATATGCATATGCAAGCATACATGCTGTTCAGCAATATAATTTTTTCCCACCTACAATAGCTGAGAAATTATCCAAACATAAGGAGTTTGGGTATCCTTTTCTACAGCTGTATAGTACTCCATTGTAAGGAGGGTTAATTTGTCCGCTATCTGTGAGCATATAAGAAGTTTCTAACCTTTTGCTTTTATCAACATGTAGCCAACATCCTTGACTATATAAATGTGAATATATCTGTGAGATAAATTCCAATGAGTGTAATTCTGTGTCAAGAGTATATAAAATTTTGATAGACAACTGGCAACTTGTCCTCCAGAGAAGTAGGGCCAATTCCTGCTCCAACCTTCCTCATTCACAGGGTATGAGATGTCTCTGTGGACATTTTTTCTGCCTTCATATAAATGACTTTTACTCTAGGAATGTTCCCAGCAACACAAAGAGAATCCACAAATTATTTTTCCATGAAATCAGTACCCTAAATAGTTGGAATTCTTCTGAAAAAGTTAACAAACAAAAATTTTTTAATCCCCTTAACTTTATGGAGACTGTGAATCTTGGCTGCAGAAGGTCAGTCAACTCCAACAAAGAAGCCTGACTACTTCCCTGATCTCATCTCTCTTCTGCTATGGTTTTCCCTCTGTATTATTTTCTCCTCCTCCTTTTAACTTTTTCATTTTATTTTGTGTTATGCTCACTCAACTCCTTTCTGAAACCAAATCAGGAAATGAAATAAATATGGTATAGCATGCTTTTCTTTACAAAGAGCATCATTCTTGGGACTCTGGCTGTTGGAAAGTGGGGAGGGGAAAGATGGGTTCCCTCTTCCTTCTCTACTTTCCTAGGAATAGGAGCAAAGGCATCCAGGGCTGATGAGCTACAGCATGACTGGCAATGTATCTCCCAGCCTCCCTTGCCTTTTCAAGAAAGAATGCCAAGAATGTCCAAATGCAGGCCTTTCACCCTATGTCCATCATCCAAACATTCATTCACTCGATTTCTGAATGTTCATTCATTCTTTAAGAGCCTACTATGGGCCAGAGCTTGATTTTGTTTTTTCTTCTACCAGGACCCTGAGGCCTTCCAGTCCTAGCTGCCCCCTCCAACATGATCCTCTAAGTGTGTTTACAGAGTATGTCATCATATAGTCATCTGCAAAAACACATGCTGACACACTTGCATTCATCTTCTCCTTGTGTCTGGAAATCATACAAAGGTTTTCAAAGAGTCATGCATGTGCAGCATGTCCTAACAAATGTCACAGACATAGTTCTATGTTAGCAGCACCTATGTTTGCATGTGGGAAATGCAGAAACCAACCACATGTCTGTAAGGATGGCTGGGATTTGGTTCTAAACCAAATGCATTGCCAAGACCAGGTGAGCCCACACCAGACATGCAGGGTGCACATGTCTCAAATCCATTCTGGCATCTTGCTGCCTGGGAGGGAGGAGGAGTGGAGGGGTTTGGCTAGGCCGGTGTCCAGGGCTCCCCAGGTTGCTCCGTCTGGCCAGATTGGCCAGCCCCAGGTTCCCTGTGCCTTCTGCTGCTTTTCTCTCTACCACAGCATTCCTTCTCCTTCTTAGTCATAGATAATTCCCCTACTCCTTTGGCAAGTTCCCAGAGCATTGCTGCTTTCTGCCAAGGGTTATTGGAAGAGGTCTGTGTTAAGACATGGATCCAAGTCACCCCAACTTCCTCTTGTGAGAGGCCAAGCCTAGAGGCAGAGCTGTGGAGAGAGGAATGTGTAGGAGAGAAGATGGGGAACACAGTTCATGCTCTGGGTGTGGGCTGGCCCACACTCCCATCTCTGAACCACTCACCTTCAGTGAACACACACACACACACACACACACACACACACACACACACACACACACATACACATTTACACATGGCATGGTTACCTCTAGAGGGCAATTGTATTTGCACTTGGTTCCTTGAGGATGAGAAGGGAATATGAATTTTGTAGCCTTTCCTAGCTTAGTCCCTTTTAGCCCTAAATTTTAACAGCTTAAGAAGAAATTCTGGGCCCAGATATAATAAAGATATTTGGGAGGGGATGGAAGAGAGAGGAGCTTAGATTTATGAGCCCTACTTTAATTCACACAGATTTATATGGAAAAAAGGGAAATCATATACATTGAACACTTTTTAAACATCATTTGATTATCCAAAAATCTCTGTGGAGTAAGGAATTGGAGATGTATTTCACAGATGAGGAAAAAGAATCGAAAAGGTTAAATATCTTGCTAAGGTCACACTTCCATTCAGTGGTAGGGCCTGAGAGTCAAGACCAGGCTAGCCTATGCCACAAAATAATTTAGGAAAAGATAATTCATTTTACAAAAGATTCACTGTAAAATGACTTTAGATGGAGAATCTCCATCTAGCTTTTCAAATAGGGTATGACATACAAACTCCACCTCGTTGGTGTCCATCCCTGCAAGAATTCCCTGATGTGAATGCCAAAGATAGGAACAACATGGGTCACATAAGATACATGCGGAGAAGGAACGCAATATAAGGTCCTTGGGAGCCAGTGTGGAAGTTAGTGGTGGTGGTGTGTGTGTGTGTGTGTGTGTGTGTGTGTGTGTGTACGTGTGTGTGCGTGTGTGTGTGTGTGTCTCTTGGGGCAGGTCAAATGGAATTTCTGATTTCAATGGGAAAAGGTGGGGGAAGCAGAGTTTATCTACCAGATAAGCACTGAAGGGATAGTTACTGAATCAATGAATGAATGAACAAATTCATTCATCAAAAGTTCATTGAGCACAGCCCTGTGCCAGGCACTGCACGGGTCTTTCAGATGCTGATGCTACAGTGGGTGAGACTGGAAGCTCTGGAACCAGGGAGGGAGAAGAGGAAGCATATTGGAAAGAGTGAGCCTCCCTTCTGTCTCTTCTGGGGAAGGCCCAGCCCCTGTCCTCAATCTGGTAATGCTGCCGCCCCCTCCCCCACTCCCCACCTTGAGCTTTCTGCTCTAAATATCATTGTGTTCAAATAATAGTGTATATATTTTAAAAGACTCCAAGAAGACAGCTGCCTCAGAGCATTAATCATGAAGAGGCCAGCACTCAGTCTCCATGGCGACTCCTGACAGAGAGCTCAGGAACAGCTCACATCCTACTTCCTGGGGCCATGGAGATGCAGGGACGCAGCATCTTTCACCCTTCTCTCTCCTTTCTGCCCCTCCTTCTCCCCCTCTTCCTCTCCTCCCTCTCTTTTTCTCTTCCTAAAGGATTTATTTAAAAGCAGGAACAGAGGCAGCATCCAGCCATCAGACTAACAAGGAACAAAGCCAAAGAAGATGCAGCAGAGACGGAGTCTGCTTCCAGCAGCACCTCTGTAGTATACCACTCCCCTCCCCAGACTCCTGCCATGTCCCCAGTCTTCTCTGACCACTAGGGCAGATGGCGTCTGCACTATCCTTGAGGCAAGGGACCACCATCGGGGTCCTGTCTCTTCCCTTTTCCTGCCCATGGCCAGTTATTGGTTTACGGTTTGGGTCCTTACTATTATTATTATTTTAATGTCCACAAAGTAACATAGGCCCACTGGAAAAAGCCAAACATGTTACAACTTATATGCAAAAAATGAAAATATATTTTGCAATTCTATACCCAGATATAAACATTTAAATGGTTTTAGGTTGATTCCAATAGGTTTTTCTTCATGAATAGTTATTTAACATTCATCTATTCAACTGTAGCATCAACATCACCATCATTATTATTATTATTTTTAACAAGAACAAGGTTTAATATGAATATATAATATATATACACGATCTGGGAAAGATAAGGGCCCATTTTGTTAAATGGTTAGGAGGAAATGAAGCCCCTACCAACAGCCATAGGCACCTTAGTAGTTCCAGGACTAGAAAAAACTGTCCTTACAACATACACACTCCTGAGGTGCAGGCTCCTGGCTTTCTATAGGAAGAGAGCAGGTCGAGTTTCCCATACAGTCAAGTCCATTCATGCTATATACAGATTGCAGACCAATATCTTCTCCATATTTGTTGAGATGCATGACAGAAGGATGGAATCAAGTGGTGGTTCCTGTGAAGCTGTGATCAGTACAGCTTGCTGGGCCCAGAACACAGCAGTGGCTGTTTGACCAGGAGTCTCCACACACGCTGCTGGCTCCTGCAGAGTCACAGGGCTGCCCTGCTGGAGCGACGGCGGCAGGGGTTTGGGATGAGAATAGACTAGTTTCTAAAAATGGTGGTACTGTCCCCTGTTGCACCACCTGCATTTTGTTGGCTAGCAGGGCCCCAGGTACCCTGCATTGATGGGATCCGTGAGATGTCCAGTCATAGCAGGCATGGTGCTATCACCCACACCTCCACCTGTGCTCTGGGTAGGTGGGCTCCAAGTGATGTAATGGCAGGTGGTGACACAGGGAAATCCTATTATAGGTGAGATGTTTTACTTCAACTGTGTCACCTGTGTTTTGGTCCAGTGGTGCCCAGCTGCACTGATGGAATGAATATAGGAACACCAGGTCCTTTAATCACAGTAATGATGTTGTCCCCTACCTTCATGACACCTGCTTTCTGGGCAGGTGTGCCCCAGGTGCTTGGGATGATGGTGGAACTAGATGTGGATAATTAGACGCTGGGATAGTGCTGGCACTCGGAGCTACAGTGGCAGTGGTATGCCCAGGAGATGGAGGTGGAACCTGAAGTGGGCAATTAGACACAGGAATAATGCTGGCACTCAGAGCTGCAGTGGCTGGCTGTGGTATGCCCAGGAGAGCCCCAGCTGCCCTGATGGAAGGTGTTAACAGACGTGTTTCTTGACACACATCTCTTTTTCATGATGGTGGTTCCTCCAAGTGTAGGTCTTACCCGTCCAGGCTGGCTTCAGGCCTATTGATGGAATGTGGGAACACTAGGGCCTCCCGTTGCTGTACCATCTTTGTTTAGGACAGGTAAGCCCCACATGCTCGGATGTAAGGTTGTATTCATAGAGTGTCCTACCGCTGAGGTGCTTGCCTGTTGTCCTGAAGCAGCCGTGCTGTGGCCATACGGAGCCCAGGTTATATGGCCACCAGGAGGAACAGAAGTGGGGCTATGTGCCCTCTTCCTGGATGATGTCTGGTTGAGTATTTGGGATGCCTGTGAATGAGTAGGGTCTTGGGCAGATACGCTGAGCCCAGGTCTTCCTCCACCCACGGGGGCTGCAGGAGCTGCCCACACAGATGGGCCTGGTGTAGCACCTGTGAGCAGTGAACTCCTGTTCCCACTGCTGGGCATCCTGGTAGCACCTCTAAACCCACTGGTGGTGGCTGTGCTGCTGGACATGCCAGCGGCTGGCCAGACATTCACAGTGGTGCCAGATGCCAAGACTAGCGATGTGAAACCTGTGAAGTTTGATTTCATTCTGTGGCTGCTGGGTGACTGGGCGGCAGGAGAGCAGGGCTGTCTGTTTTCCCAGCAAGTGCAAGTGTTTAGGCTACTGCCCACCACAGTTTCAAGAAGTGCTGGGAACAGGGATTGCTGGGTTAAAGAGATGGGTGGAAATTGTATTTTTTCTGCTGCCTACTTTGGGATGTAAAAAGGTGGAGACATGGGCTGAGGCCATACTGCCATTGTGCAGTTTGTCCTGAGATCCAGGAGGCACCATGTAAGCTGGGAAATGATTC